GGGTCGGGTGAGCAACTCCCCATACGGTGACCCCTCCCCCCACAGCTGAGGAGCAATGGGGACAGGAAGCAGGGGAGGATGCTGAGCTTCTGGGGGGTGGGGTGGGGGTGTCTGATACAGCTCTAGCCACTCCTTGCAGGGGAAGAGGAAGTCCCGTCCTCTCCTGCCTCCAACCCAGCCGAGACTAGCACCTGATCCCGGTAAGAGCCACTGGCTGGGGCATCCCCAGCGCTGCGGTGATTTACCTCTTTGCAGGCTGGTCCGGCGATATACCCACACTGCGAGGGAGTGGTGTGTGACTGCTCTTGCAGCTTCCCTGTCAGTCTCTTTTTTTGGGAGGGTGAGGGGGGGCGCCTGGGAAGCAAAGAAATCTGCAGGAGACATGAATTCTGCACATGCGCAGTGGCGCAGAATTCCCCCAGGAGTAAATATAACAAATGTTTACAGGTTTTCAAACAGTACTACTTATATCCTTGTGGAAATGTATGAGACAATTTTTGATTAGGAGGTTCACATTCCAGTCACCCACCAACATTTCCTAGATTAGTTCCTTTTTAAAATATTTTACCCAAACAAACATTTATAAAAATGATAGCCTGATTATTTTTGGTGCATCTCTCCTGCCAGGAAAGGAGTATGAGCATTCTAGACCAGTCTGACACAAACTTACAGGTTGTTTTGGAATTTTTATTATGTTTACATTTTCTGTAAAATGATGGAGTAGTTGTGACTAAACTAAGTTAACTATATATTAGGTATAATAAAAGTGACAGTTGACTACTAAACTCTATTTACCGAATGCTTCCTCCTAACACAAGCAGGCTTTAACTTTTCTTTAAAAACAAGAGCTGTCTGGGAAAACAAAAAAAATTAACCTAATTTCAGAAGTGTGCGCTTAATGCCCCATGGCAACCAACAATGTCATTTTTCTTTTTTATCCCCTTCCATGGGCCACTGCCTTCTGCTTTATGCAATGACCCAGGATGTACTACAGTCGTAGCATCACACCTACCACAGAACTCTGTTTGGAACTGGTCTTAGAGTGAGGTCACACTATCTTCTGAGGGGGGAAAATGCATGACTGGGAATAAAAGTTCATGTGTTTTTGGAGGCCAAGCCTATCTGGGGGGCAAGTGTGCTGTTACTAGTACAGTGTATGCTTCAGGAGAATCACATGGAGCAGGAGCCAGCAATCTGCAGTTTAGACCGATTTCCTAAGAAATGGGGGGGAAATATGCAAGTTTTAAGTTACTAGCGTGCCACTGCCTCTCAGATTGGTTATTTGGGGCACTTAGCATAGATCAATAGTTTGCAGTTTTGAAAAATAGTTTAATGACAGGGTCTCTTTAAAAAAAACCTACATTGTGGTCAATCATGTTTTGAAGCAGGTGAGATTAATTTTAATCCACAGGAGTACCTATAAACTGGGAGCACAAATAAATACAGACAAACAATTTCATACCCTTAATTTAGGTCCCTTCAACCCCAATCATAGAGCTCTTTGCAGGTGTTTGCCCATACAGATTCAGTTTACAGGTTTAAAGTTTTATAGACTTCTAAACCCCCCAATTCTGGCACTTTACAGGGACTGAGATGGTTAAGTGACCTAAACTGCAAGTACACCTCTACCTCGATATAACGCTGTCCTCGGGAGCCAAAAAATCTTACCACATTATAGGTGAAACTGTGTTATATTGAACTAGTTTGATCCACCGAGTGCACAGCCCCCCCCCCGGAGCACTGCTTTACCATGTTATATCTGGATTTGTGTTATATCGGGTAGCGTTATATCGAGGTAGAAGTGTATAAGTAATTGTGGAGACAAAACTGCACACACAAAATTGAAAGCCTCACTAAACTGATTAATGCCAACTCTTCAAAGCGCCCCAATTCAACAGAGATTTTAAGCATGTACGTAGTTCCATAGACTTCAATGGGACCACACATGCAAGAAGTTAAGTATGTGCTTGAGTCTTTGCAGGATGAGGGCCTAAGATTAGTGTAAAAAGTCACCATATTGCTGAAAGTCACCCATACGTGATCTCTAATGCAAGGGCTCTGGTATCAGCTATTGAGAGTTTTTAAATATGGTTTACTAGAGCTATAAAAATAAGAACCCATTTTAACAAAATGTATCAAGTATTGACTATTAAAGCACAATGGAGTTTAGACTTGTGAACTGTAGGAACTTAGTTCATGTTTCAAACAATTTTTCCAGGTTTGTTTTTTTACTATCTTTCCTGAAAATTATACTAGTTTGCAAAAATTGCATAAGATAGCAAATAGGAAAAAAAAGTCACTGATCTGTCAAAGGAATACTCAACTGTTTGAACATATTTTCCCCCTCCTGTTGTTTTACGAGCTGTAATGACTATAACAGATGTGGGGGGAAAAATCCCCCACTCTGTTTATTTGCATTTAGCAGCACTTGGATAGTTTGTTTCACTGTTTCCCCTACACAGTCAGTCACTTTCCTCTAAGTGGGTCTGTTAAAAACATTTCTCTCATTATGTTTTCTTAAAATATACAACTGTGACTGCAAAAAAATTAAATAGGGAGATTCAGGGAAAATCTAGTAACTGTAACTACTTTGAAACTTTTAAGTTAACTATGTTATACTGAACCTTGCAGCAAATCTAATCCTGATAATGGTGGGATTTTTCACAAGGGCTTTTTATAGTCTGCTTACAAGACAAGTGTGATGCACTTTTGAAGCTATCAATAAGCTGCATAACCTTTAAAGTAATACAACTCATCTTTATGTCTAAGGTTCTTTTAAATTTTGTCAAACACGGTCCTAATCACAAATTTGTATTCATCATCTAATCACCATTTTTGTATTATTGTGGCTTTAAAGACCATGCACATATTTTAAATATAAAATGAAAGTTGTGCAAGACTATGGAGATTTAGGTTCATTTTGGTAAGAAACTAGAGTCTGTCCCACAATAGCCTCATGAGACTAATTTCCCTGTAACATTTAAATGTGGTCAAGGACAAAAGAGAATGTACAAAAATACAAATACTTTGTAATTTGGCCAATTTAATGTTGGTGAACTAAGATCTTTAGATGCTGGCAGCACTATGTGAGACTGTACCAGAGGAAGAAGAGCTTTTAATGGTAATTTGTGAAGAATTAAACTGAAACAAGAGAAACAGTTTACTCAAAATCCTCTAACACTGGTGGGAAGGAGCAATTAGGTCAAAACAAGTGACACAGACCTAGAACACATTTTCTCTGGATAAATTAGAATACTATACCACAAGTACAGTGTTTGCCAGTGTAAAATACACCTCACGGGAAGAGGAAACTCCACTCATGCCAAGATTTTTAAAACAGTCAGTTTCCTTCCCCCCCCCCACCAACTTGCAGTCAGGAAAGGAGGATTTGGAATTTCACTAACCTGCTGGGTCAAAAACAAGCATTTAATCCCAATTACTCAGAAAAAGGGTTTTAATCTTGAAGCACTAGCTGGGTTAATCCTTCAACAGGCAGCAAATTGTAACAGAGCTATTGGACGTTTGTTTACATAAGACGAATATGGACCCCCAGCGAGACAAGCTTTGGATCTGAAAGTATTCGTGGGAGGGTTACATCTCCTGATAGTCACTACTTGGACAATACAGGGAGAAAAGCGAAAGGAGAACGGTCAAGGGGGACTAAAGGGGCCAGCAGAAGGGGAGCTCGGGGATTGGAGACCCAGGAAAGGAAAAAGAGGGAAGACAAGCCTGAGCTGGGGACTGGAGCGGGGAGAAGCCCAGAGCTCGGAATTGGAAAGGTGGTTAGTAGCTCAGCAGTGGGCGACTCAGTGCAGCACCTGTAGCCCAGGGCTGGGGAGTGTCGGGCCATACCTTTAAGCTGGGGCAGAGGCGAGAGCTCCACCTGGCTGCTCTGACTCCGGAACTGCGAAGAGCCCTGCGAGCGCTTCTGCCTCTGAGCCTTGCGCACCGATTTCCGCGTGAAGCCATCCACCTTCTCCGAGGCAGAGATGGCCGCCGACATGGCTGGGCGGTGAAGAGGGGGGCGCCGCTCCCCAGAAGCATATATCAAAGCGGTGGGGAAGAGGAGCGGGAAAAGGAGCCAAGATCCCCCCCAAACGGAGGGGATCCCGACGGCGAGCGGCCCGCTTCTCCCCCCTCTCCTCCGAGCGGCCCAATCCCGGCCGGGCTCGCTGTCGGAGCCTACTTTATCCAAGCGCTGGGAGACTCCTCAGTCCGAGCCGCGGCGTTCCCAAGCTCCTGCTTCGCTCGTAACTTCCTCCCTGCGGAGCCGGCTCCCGAAACTTTCCCCGGCGGAGCCGCGGGGCGGGCACGGCCGCCACACGCTAAACTTTCCGGCGGACGGGACGGGAGCGATCCGCGCGGCTCACGCTCTCCCCGCAGCGAGCGCCACCCGAGCCGCCAGAGATAGCGCGAGAGCTGGGTTCGCCTATGCCCTCCTCTCCTCAGCCGGGCTCTCCTGTGCCAGTGCGCGCGGAGCTCGCTGTCATGGGCCGAGCTCGCCTGAGAGGCACGTTCCCCCTGCCCGCCCCTCAGCCACCGCCGGGAGCCCCCCGCGCTTCCGCTGTCATCGTGCTCCCACGCGGCCCGGGCAGCTCAGACCGCGCTTTCCCGAGTATCTCCGTGTCCCCCGGGGCCGCGGCAGCACCGGCCCGGTCGCGCCGTGAAGCCCCCCAAAGCCGGCAGGCTAGAGCGTCCGCTGAACTTGCCAGAGGTGGGAGGGGAAAGAGGCGGGGCATAGGTTGGCGGGGAGGTGGTTGGGTTGGCCGTTGCTGCATGCGCGTGAATGATTGACGGGAGAAGAGCAACCAATGAAAAGACCGAGATGGCGGTGGGGGAGCCGACGCCGCACGACCTCCGGCCCTAGTGATTGACAACAGGGTTGGCCAACAGAAGGTAGGAAAGTGGGCGGGATGTCTTGTGGTGAGCCGGAGAGTGATAGGAACTGAGTAATGAGGCGGGGTGGGCGGGAGCCAATCCAGAGTGGGGAACTATTCGAAGGCGAGACTTTGTGTTTGTATGGATCGGTCCCTCTTGGCGAGGCGAGTCTGTCAAACTTGTCAGGCAGGGCGGGAGGCGGAGGAGGCTGCTCTCCTCAGGGAGCGGTGAGGCGGCGGAACGTCGCTCCGCTCTGTGGCAGGCAGCGCCGTGCGCCCGGGTGTCAGGCACCTGCCCCGCTCACGCGCTCCCTCGTGCCAGCTGCAGGGATCGTGCCCAGCGTATCAGATGCCTCAGGTTGGATCTATGCCAAGTACCTCTCGGGGGTGTGCTTAGCAGTGCACGTCGCTCAGTGCTGAGCGAGGCAGAGCTAATGGCTGCGGTATGTTGTGAGGTGTCACAAACAGCAGTGCACGCGGAGATTTCTGTCAGTGAACTCGCTGGGACTGAAATAAACACGTCATTTATCATCCTAAAAGGAATCCAAGGCCTCCAGCATCAACTGCAGGGGCTGCTCATACACTGAGTGGCCACCAAGAGTGTACATGCTTAGGTATGGTAGAAAGGAAGAATTGACCTGTGTGTATGTTACTGTTGTCCTCGACTAGCCCCATATCCGATGTTTTCAGGTGTTTCTCAGTTCTCTCTACTACCAGTAACTGGGCTAGCGGAGCTACTCCTGTAGCTCACTATTCTTGTACTGTACTTTTTTAAATTTATCCCTACATAATGACTGTGACTTTAGTTGATGACTGCGGTGATTTAGGCAGTGTGAGTTATTAGTTTGTATTACAGTAGTCCTTAGAGACCCTAACTGAGGTGGAGCCCCATGATGTTAGTTGCTGTTCACGCATGCTTGACACTGCAAAGTTCTCAGCAGCACTTTAGTCTGAGGCCTGGTCCACACTAACCCCCCACTTCGAACTAAGGTGCGCAAATTCAGCTACGTTAATAACGTAGCTGAATTCGAAGTACCTTAGTTCGAACTTATCACGGGTCCAGACGCGGCAGGCAGGCTCCCCCGTCGATGCCGCGTACTCCTCTCGCCGAGCTGGAGTACCGGCGTTGACGGCGAGCACATCCAGGATCGATTTATCGCGTCTAGACAAGACGCGAGCGAGCGACCCACCCAGATGGATTGC